TGGAAAACAATGGTGCTACTTTCAAAGTATATAGTGACTTTAACCTTCACAGACGGTGTTTGACTTGAATACCGCGCCAGAGAATTCTCGGCTTCAACGCGTTCGTAGAACTGGTGTTGCCGCCGTTGAGGTACGAAACCAGGGTCAGTGACGAAGCAGTGTATAAGCAACAAGTAGCGCAACTACTAAGTGCTACATGACGTGGCGCACATTGGAAACAACTTTAAAAGCAAGCATGTCTCTCATAGAGAAGCGTGAGAAACCGGGCCCGCGATACTGTTGCCATTAGCCACATATCGAAGAGTCATCTGCTGGCGCCGCTTGCAACCAAGGCGAGGAGAGGATTTTATCTGGCAGCCATAGAGTAATATACACGAGGCAAAGAGCGGACACTGCCATAGGCCCCAGCGGCCGAGATAGACGAGTGACAGCTAGTGCTCCCAGCGGGCGGCATTAAGCAGAAGCTAGTTCCGGTTCCGGTCAAGTTAGTTCCTGTTTGGGTTTGGGTGTTTCTGCTCAGGTTTCTCCGGTACTCTTCTTCTCCTCTTTTTTCTCTCTCCTTCCATTTGGCGTCGCTTCTCGCTAGGCTAACTAGCTAGGCTAACTAGCTAGGCTCTTGGGAGCTCGTCGACTCCCGGAGCCGCTGTTAAATTTCTTTTTTTTCATGTTGACGCAGTTTTATTTTAATTTTTACGATAGAATTCATGCAAAATGTGTAAAACAAACTTTCTAAATCACAAAACAGAAGTGTATATCTTGTTTGTTTGTTTTTCTATTGTAAAACATCGAAGTTACGCAATCTCCACATTGACTCCTGACTGGTGGAGCATTTTGGTGTCAACAACCGTAAGCGGTTCGAAACCATTTTATTGGACCAAATTCGTATATACATGATTTAATTTCAGACGCTCCGTATGTTTTATAAGAAACAAATACCAATACTCACAAAAATAAATGAATATAAAGGGGTTCGGCATATCGTACACCTCGTAATAGATTTTTAGCGGAACCAAGTTAACAAAAACTTTCCACAGAGAACATGCTGAATGATCAATTCGCTTTCACGCCGACTCGGGCACGGAAAGTAGGTGCAGAAATACATAGGACATCGCTACCATTACCAGTCATAAGAGTATATATAATAAGAGAGCAAAGCACACAGCGAAGTGTACAAACTCCGAATTTCCGGCTAATATAAAACACACGAATTGGCATAGCCTGAAACACACTGCGGGCGAGCCATTACCATTACAGTCTATTCGAAATCTGACTAGATCCAACGTCCCTAAACATTTCCCGCAATACATTTGATCAGAAAGGGGGTGTGGCTTAAAAAAAGCGGCTAAACACTATACACGGTGGATACAAAAGTGGATACATTTTTTTATAATACTTAGCCTCTATACACTATTTTCTATAGAAATTTTGTAGAAAATGGATAAATATATTTGCAAAAAGGCCGTGATTCAGACTTGCTGGAAATAAGGGAAACAAACGTTGGGGGTGAAAGCTGCACCGCTCAATTAATAAGCATTTTCTGCTTTTGATTTGGCAGCCGCCTCCGTTAATACACTAATAACAGTTAAACATGTCTAGTTGCTTTACAGGAACTGAGGAGTGCATCCAAACTTTTTCCAAGTTCCAATTAAAAAATCGAACATGCCAACATAAGCGTATTCTGGAAAACATTTTTAAAAAACCTTTTGTGGCACTCTGAGCAAAGCTAAAACTACCCAGACCTGGAAGTGTGTAATACCCAAGACAGCACACACTCCTAGAACATACGCCACTCTCTCTCTCTTACGGCCAGAAAGCGATTTTCTCGTTTCTGAATGAAATAAAGGCAGCCTGGGATGGTATACTAGATTCCCGAAGAGTTTTCCCGGCACGCGGTATGCTTTAAGCACAAGAAAGTACTGGTGAGGCCTGGTCAAGCTGTCAGACTCTTCCCCCAGCAGCTGAGAACAGCCACGGCTGTGGGTTGACAGTTGAAGGAAATGCTTAATCAAATAGCCTCCAACGTAATAAGTAGACGAGTCATCAAATATGTTAGATTTTATGTGTAATGTGAGTTCAGAAATATCCTCTAATGGCGGGAAGTTATCAATTGGAAGACATTCCATATTGTTCGCAGTTGAACTTTCATGGTGCAAAAATATTGGCAACTTCTTGAGGACGTCGACTTCTCATCCTCCACATTTTCAATTTTGACAGTTTGGACAGTTTCTTTATCCCTATGTGTTTTAGTCCTGAGGTGAACTGATACGCCTTTGGGTTTGTATTGCAGCCCAGCATTTGTCATATAGCTTTAAAAATGTTCTCAAATGGATCTTGCTGCAGGCGTCGTCTAAGTAAAAACTTAGTCATGGCTGTTTGAAAGCTCCTCCCAGAGCATGAGGACACTTTTTATCGTAACTTGCCACCTTATGATGGTTTGTGGCTACCTCATATTTTGGAACTTCCATGCTAAAATCCAACCGAGTTGCAGGTGAAAGAAATCGAGTACCTCAGATTCTCCTTTCAGTAAGGCATGAGGCATAGGCGTAGACTATGGGGGGGGGGGGGGGGGGGCAATCATCGGGGCTCGTGCCCCCCTTGGTGAAATCTAGGAAGGGCAGAGCCCCCCCCTCCCCCCGGGCCCAGGCCATGATCCTTACCGAGACGCTGTTTACGTGCCATGTAACCAGCTTCTAGTAGCGGCATGTAAACAAAACAACGCCCACGTTGCCTTTATTGACAAAATACATGGGAAATAAAATACCAGCGAGTTTTCGTTAGCTTCAATCTCCAGCTCTGTCGAAAAAGTAACACGCAGCACCCCCCCCCCCCCCCCCCCCCCCCCCCGGGGAGAACTCAGCCTGCCTCCTCCCACGGGAAAATGGAAAGTCTACGCCGCTGGCACGAGGGAACTTCTGCCCTGTCTTCTTGAATTGTGAGCTATTTAGAAAGTATCTCCATCCCATCGCAAAAATAGGCGGTATCGATGGCTGCCTCAGGAAGCTCCTTGGCTTAAGCAAGGGATAGGATTGCAAGACAGACTGAGGCACTCATTACCTGTGCGGCACGCTTTACTTTTATGCTACTGAGAGAGTTTTGAAAAATGTGTCTCTCAGCAAGTTTCGGAGCCAATCGAAACCTCATCTCATGGGTAGAGCGATAATGTTTAACAATATCGGACCACTCAATGACCTCATTTCCAATGCAAAATTTGTGTGCTTGGAGATTGTTCCAGGTTGTTTTGATGAAGTACGGAACATCAAATATAAAGTAAACATATTCGTTGTCAACTAAAAAAAAAAGGCTTACCCACAGACACACCAAGTTGGTTAGCCAAGCTTACATTCGAAGCACTCTGATCACAGATCAAAGCCTTTACTGTGAAGCCAACAGTCTTAAGCTCCCGCAATGAGAGAAACGAGGAGACTGCGGGTAACAGAAGACGGTGTGGAAGTGTGCACAACCGTGTATGCAGGGGGCTGAACCCACCTCCTAGAAATTCTGGGAGCCTTCTTAGGGTGCCTTCACATGAAGGCACCCTAAGAAATTCCAGAGAGCACAACAACCAAGGCTCTATCTGCAACACCGTTCAACACCGTCGTCTGCGGATCCATGGACAATGTCGTCCGCAGGGTCATAAGTCAAGTCCCTTTTCAAAGAAATCTCATCGAAAATCAAGGCACACACACTATTGTGGCCCGATAGCCTGACTGAAACAACAGCAGGAGAAGTTCAAGCCGCTCGGCTCCACAAACTCACGCCGAGCTTGCGAGCGCGCGGGCAGTCATGCGTCACCTTGTTTGATGCAAAGCCGACCGAACACGCTGCAGCAGAAAGCACAGGCGGACGGCACGCACGGCCCGGACGAACGACGCACGGCCGAGCAGAGGCCATGCAGAATAATGCTGAGGCGACGGCGTGCTCGTAAGCAAGCGGGCAGGCCCACGGCAGGTCATGACAGGCGCCATTCCTCACGTGGTTTTTGTTACGTATTAGATTAATACCATTTAGTCGTTTTAAACATTTTAAATAATTCTAACGCATAACAATTTCAAAAATGAAGACTTCGCATAGAACGAGTTCTAATTAATTTTAACCAAATTACAGAAAAGCGCCACGTAGCGGAGGGCATTAAACGCACTATCTGGGCCGCGAATCGGCTTCTGTGTCCTCTCTTTACATTCACTATATTATTCTATGAGGCTGCTACGACGGGCGCGGTGTCTACACTGATAGACTATTTAAAACAGCTGTGCATGGGCGCCGCCATCCTTGACCATCAGTTTTTGATTCCTTCCATTCCGCTTACTTCACTTCATCATTATCATAGCAGGCCAGGTTATTGCCATTTTAAATTCTACTCTGTTCTTCTCCCCAACAACGGTCTTTCTGGAGGCTCGTTATTTCGGTAAAGCAAGAGAAGGTTAGCAATGGCGACTGTAATCTGGCCCGTGTTCAAAGCGTCTGTAAATGTTTCACCGTGATCCAAGGTACTTCCGCTGGTCACGTTACGTGGTTACACATAGAGCGACGCCAGCGACGCTTTCTATACGCCTAGCACGCGCTAAACAAGCGAGCGCCAGGCTTTTAGCGCTGCTGCCAAGCGCGAACGCCCTTTCGTTTTTACTTCTTATCTTCACACTTTGCTGCTCTTTCTAGATAGGGCCCTTCACGAGAAGGCCGGGGGGCGCGACTCGCATATTCTCCGTTCTGGCGTGTCTTGTTCCTGGAATTATGGGTCCCGAGTTTCCGCGGCGCCAGAAGCGGCGGCTCTGTGATCTCTAGGTTGACGCTGAGTTACATTCTGTGCTATCACTGCCATTGCTACGATCATGTAAAAAAAAAAAAAAAATATATATATATATACTTTTTTTTATTCCACATTAGGAAGAATTTTTTTTTTCTGTTTTGAGTTTTACGTGTTAGCATTTTTAGTTTATGCAGGGCTGATGCTCTCTGGAGATCTTATTTGCTGAAATGTACGAATGGAGGATTAAACTTACCTGATGGAGTGTAGTGCAATTTCGTTGCCCATCCTGTAGAGCTCGTTCACGGACGGGTAGTCAAGGTACTCTCCCGAGGCAAAGAAAGTGGCCGCGATGCGGCATCCGCTGGCCTTATTCTTGCGCTTGGGATCTGCAAGAAGCTCCTGGTAGAATTTCATGTTTACCTGGTTGACTGCGTCGTCGAAGGTCAGCATCACAAACTGGGGCATGTCGTCTACCGGAGGTTTCGTGCTCTCGCACGTGCAGTTGGGAAGCTTGCAGTTGACGGGTTTGCACTTGCCGGGGGTTGGGGGGGGCGTCGTTGGTGAAGTCGTAGACGCCGTAGTAGTGGTCGTAGGAGGTGTAGTTGGAACGGTCGTTGTCTCAGGCGTCGTTGGTGAAGTCAGAGGCGCTTTAGTTGCGGTCGTAGGAGGTGTAGTTGGAACGGTCGTTGTCTCAGGCGTCGTTGGTGAAGTCAGAGGCGCCTTAGTTGTGGTCGTAGCAGGTGTGGTTGGAACGGTCGTTGTCTCAGGCGTCGTTGGTGAAGTAGGAGGCGCCTTAGTTGTGGTCGTAGGAGATGTGGTTGGAACGGTCGTTGTCTCAGGCGTCGTTGGTGAAGTCAGAGGCGCTTTAGTTGCGGTCGTAGGAGGTGTAGTTGGAACGGTCGTTGTCTCAGGCGTCGTTGGTGAAGTCAGAGGCGCCTTAGTTGTGGTCGTAGCAGGTGTGGTTGGAACGGTCGTTGTCTCAGGCGTCGTTGGTGAAGTAGGAGGCGCCTTAGTTGTGGTCGTAGCAGGTGTGGTTGGAACGGTCGTTGTCTCAGGCGTCGTTGGTGAAGTAGGAGGCGCCTTAGTTGTGGTCGTAGGAGATGTGGTTAGAACGGTCGTTGTCTCAGGCGTCGTTGGTGAAGTAGGAGGCGCCTTAGTTGTGGTCGTAGCAGGTGTAGTTGGAACGGTCGTTGTCTGAGGCGTCGTTGACGTGCAAGGCGCCGGAGTAGTCGGAGGTGTTGTAACAGGAGCTTTCGTCGTTGTCCCAATGTCGGGGCAACCTTTACATTCTTGAGCTTTACCGCCATTCATTATTTCGGTTTCCACTGTCCTCTCGATGGTGATCACGGTCTTCTCGTGCGTCACCGTCTTGGTTCCACATTTCTGACTGCCCGACGAAGAAGCGTTTTTGCATTCTTTAGCTGGTGCCTTAGGAACCTGGGGGGAAAGGTTGTGTCTCACAGCGTACGCACTTGGGGGCAATACACCGTGTGGGACCGACGAGGCCCAGTGTAGAATGCCCAGGAACACAACGGCAAGGGAGATGCCCAGGCGCATCTTGCGTGGAGTACGTCGCCAGTACCGAGCGCTGATCGAAGCGTGCCCTTTTTGTGCTTGCCAGATATCTAGAACTTTCTGCGAGTTCCGTCAAGGAGGTGAAAGGTCCCTGCGGACACTTATCCGTTTTAGTGGAACTTGCCAACCGATAACGTCTTCAATCGCGTGAAGCCGATAGGAGCGTCGAAGTCAGGCAAAGCCCATCTATACTCGGAAAAGTGGCTCCATTCATTGTTGGGGAAATACTCGAGACAAGTGCCGCGCGCCACTTCTGAAAAGAACATGCCGTCTAAAATCTAGCTTAAGCCTAGTTCACATGCAGCGGTTTTGGCCCTAGAGCGGCGCGATTTCTGCCGTCGCGGCGCTCTGGCCAGCACCAGCAATTCTGCGGCACGAGCGCCGCGACGGCAGAAATCGCGCCGCTTTAGGGCCAAAATCGCTGCATGTGAAACCCGCTTCAGAGCTGTACTCTGAGCTGCGCGCCCCGAAAACATTTCCCTCCGGCGGCGCGTGGTCACGCGCCTGTTTCAAAGGCACTCAATGAATCACTGCACTCGTATATTCCATTGTTTGCGAAGTTGAAATTCATTATAGGGAGTAGAAAGTGACGGCTATGAAAAAACCGACCGTCCATCACGTATTACAGTGATACGTATCACAACACCCGCTAGCTGGCGCAGTGGTGCTTAATTATACATATTTTTTCAAATTTGATCTATTAATAAATTGTTTATCTTTAATCTACATTTCTAAAACTATTACTAGCTTCAAACTTATTGAAAGATATTACAACGAGTGCGACCGGGGCTTTCGCAAGACGCACGACCGCCATAACGGGAGCCAAGGTGGCGGGGGTGGATACGTAGTCCTGTTGCTGTCATTGTGCGGATTTCTGGACGTTCATTCTTTGATTCGAAGGATAGACGATTAAAGCGCAACCACGTGTAGAGTGTTTCAAGCGTCTCTTGGACGTCAGCTGCGTCGCCGAAAAGCTCTTTTTTTTTTGTTTCCCATAAACTGAAGAAAGCTAACGCTACTAACAAGAACGTATTGACTTGAACGACGCTTTCACTTCACGAGAGTGCGTGCATTACAAGTTTGTTTGAAGCGTCGAGCTCGCTCTCATTGCTCCTTCTTTGCTCGTCCTTACGGTGAACTGGAGTACACATTTCTACGGACGCCTGTAGAGCAGTTGGTTTTTAATGCGAAACCATTAACTGTCCCATGGAGCAAGCCGGCATCATCAGCCTCTCCAAACGGCAGATAAATTCCCGAAGCCGCGATTCGAGGCATCCCAGCTTTGAAACCACGCAAAAAGCCACGCAAAACGGCAGTGGTATGAAGATGATGAAAATAATCCCTGGAGAAGGGGAACAAGAGGGACAAGGGACAAACATAAATCTCCAACCACAGCTAGGTGACTGGTGAGCAACCGCCCCTTTGCATTAATTGCATTATAATTATAGTGGTATGAAGCCGCCGCGCGCAAGTTTCAATTAGCGCCACCCCATGGCGCTGCCTGCCCGCGCCTTGGGATGGCGCTAATTGAAATTACCAAGCAAAGATTAAGCGAATGGTGGCAGAAAGCGAGAGAAAACTAGGTATTTTCTTATTAATTGATGACAAGGGGGTTTTATAGCCTCACTTTCTTTGCAGTGCGGAGTGAATATAAATTTCACATTTAAATAGTCTAAGCTTAAATGGTAAAACAAAATGGCTAGGGGGCGTAAGCTACCGCCCGATCCAAAGGACTCAGCCGGATTCATTCATCCATCCATGGGCACGCAGCGGCCCAGGCGCCGAGAGCACCGAGAGGATCAGAAACGGCCGCGGCGCGAAGAATGACAGCCATGCTTTCACATTGACAACTCATGAGAAATGCTTAGGTGTACCTCGAGCCTTTTGTTATGGTTGTCCTTGTCGTCACAACAAACAATTGTATCACTCAATTCTCTTTTTTTTTATTATCCCCTTCTTTTATCTGTTGAGTGCAGCGGCTTTAATTTTATGTTGCGTATTGCGCATAATCAACTTTGGAATTCAGAATTTATGTGAGCATTTAAGCACTCACTTCCTACATCAATTCAGAATTCGATTATTCCAAATTCTCACGGCAGACTAGGTGGCGCAAGCTACCACCTGATATGAATGGAGTAAAAATATTAGTTATCCACCCATTCATAAAGCAGCCATCTGTCTCTAGCCATGGAGTGAACGGAAGCGCCTGAACAGGAAGCCGAGGCCAACTTCACAACAGCCGCTAGATGCGCTGACGGTCAAGTGAGCCGCCGGGGCCTATGGGAGTGACCTCTTTTTACGTTACATAATATTGCCTCGCGTGTCGATAAAAGAGGCAGTAAAACAAAATAAAATAAATTGAAAAAAAAAAGAGTGCGTTGACAAAAGGTTACGGTGTTTGGCTATCACAGGGACGCCCCAGGTTCGATTCCTAGAACCGGACGTTTCTTTTTGTTCTTTGAATTTAGCGTTCTCAAAAGTTCGAAATCCTTCTCATCTCCTCGAGTCACGAAAGTTGTACGCGCCGAACGCTCTACGCCGAATGTTCCATAAACCCAGGCAGGTTCAGAAGATGTTCCACGTGGCGGCCCGATGTTGGTCTCGCTCCAGCGCTCGACCCGGCTACTACGCCGCCACCGGCGCCTGCGACGCTGTCTGTTCTGTCCTTTGTTTCCTCGGCACAAGTTTGCCGCATTAAACGTTCAGTTTCTTCAGTTCTTCATCGGCTTATTCACCGAGTCATCACTCCGATCCGTGAAAATATTGCTCTAAAGGCAACCTGCAATGCTGTTTGGTTTTGCGCTTTCTAGCGACTGAAGCAAGAAACATGGGGTATGCCTTGGAGTGGCGTCTGCATCGTTCAAAAGTAGACTATTACTCTGGTGGCGCCGCTTAGCCTAGCGTGTGAAGCAGGAAATACTGAGTGGGCCAGGAAGCCGTGATCGCATAACATGCCAGTACGACGGAAGCTACGGCCCTGGCGAGCCGATCGGAATGTGACAACGTATCACCGGAGTGCGCTTTTACTCCTAAGAAGTATCAGGCTTTTCGCTGTGTCATACTTCAATATGTGTGCGATATCGAAGCCGTCGGCACGCAACGTGGGGCGTTTCGTTCACCCTTTGCCAAGTTACAACGAGACCGGGCGTTGCCGGCTGGCTATGGCACGGCGCTCCATGGACTACCCGCTAAAGAGATAGGGCCGAGCATTCCCGGCCGTTACTTGGTCAAGAGCAGATAAGCTTATGAGGTGGGCGTATTGGCGATATTGGAGCTCGCTGAGATAAGGAGGGCGTCAAAAGATTTCATTGTACTGTTCCACGGAGCACGGAAATGTCTGCGCGGTGGCGGTCACTAGGCTGCTGGAATCCATTCTCCGTTTTACTCTAAAAGGGACATGCAACAATACAGAGTAGAAAGTTTTCTCACTTTTCACAAGCTTAACGGCACAAGTGGAATCGAGGGGTACTCGCACGCCACTGGCCAAGAGGCTTTTTTGTCACCCCGTAATTTCAAGGATAAAAGTGGACGTTATATCTTTCAGTCTCTCCTTCGCAAAACTCGAGAACGGAGTTGTGTAGTGATGAAACCGGGAAGCAACATGATTTTACCGAGATCAAAATATACGAAAGAAAAACAAAATTTCTCTACGAGCCGAGCTAAGCCTATTTATTGCAACTTAAGATTGTAAGCGCGTGTAGCGTCTATTGTAGTGAAAATATGTATACGGCCTACTCTAAAATAGCCACACATTGAAAATGTCGTAGGGCGGTGTAGTCTTGTAACTCAGTAACAAACGTTGAGGGCGTATATCTGATAAAGCTAGCAACCCTGCATAAAAAAAAAAAATCTATATAAGAACCGCAACTCCAGCCGTTTAGTTGTCAACTCTGCCTTAAAAAGCTTGAATTACAAAATTTAATCTTAGGCGATATAACATTTCTTGGGTAGCATTTTAGTAGCTGGTCTGACATTTTTTAATTGTGTGCTAGCACAACTGAATTGGTCTTACGTAGGTTTAATTTATTTGTATTTGTGTTCAAAGTTGTTCAAAATAATTTCCCGATGAAGCAATATTTCGAAGCTTGATCATGAACGCGAGAAAATGTAATTCAAAGAAAAGGAAAGTTATTTTGAAAGTGAATTTTTTCTCAAGCCATTTAAGATTACTTTCCACGGTTATAATTTTTTGAAAAGATATAACTATTTGTTCTAAGCATCAAATATCATTTCTGATGTAGCGGACGACACACACTTCCGCCATCTCTTGCTTGTACATATAAGCAGTTCTTGGTGATGTTCCCGAAGACGATACGTATGGTGCCACTAATCCTCGTTACAATGTTGCCAACTTCGGGCGTTTCAATACAATGTGTTGATGCGTTATCGTTAGAGCCGCCTAACGCGACCTTCAGTCAGTGCGGGCATGACTTGGCAAGTTATTTTTGACGCACTTTTTTATTTTAATTTAGAGTTACTAGGAGCCATCCCGAGTTTTGTGCTAAATAAGCTGAAGGTATTATTCGTAATGCACGTGTTGCTGAAAAAAAGAGACCTATTTCTATATAAAAAAGAGAAGGTATTGTAAAAAAATTCAGAAAGCTTCGTTTGTTGTGCGGAATAGCGCCAATAACATGACGTCCAAAAAAAGCTCAAAAAAGTAGAACGAACAAAAAAATAAATCAGCAAAGGGGAAGCAGAAAAAAAGAACAAGGAAGAAAGCTGAGAGTTTAATATAGCGCGCACACATGTACCTACACATTGATACACACACGGACTTGGAGATAGGAGAGATATATTGCCCTTGAGCTTGATTAAACGAGAAGGCGTCTTTTACAGAGTCGATTACGGTAAGTGCAGATTTACTGTAGGGTGATTTCAGATAAGGTCGGCCAAAGGGTGGCTGGTCGACATTTTTAAATCAACTGATATCTTTATATATAGCATATAAAGATATCAGTTGATCTAAAAATGTTGTGTTAAAAATTTAAAAATAAAAATAAAAAAAAAGATTTAAAAAAATGTTTAGTGTCTGGTATGAACGAATCCAAACTTCGTTTTGGCCAGAAAAAAAAAAAAATTGGGGA